GTAATACCAGTTAATGAAGGAGCTCTTTCCTGCAGAGTGGTTACCCATTATCATCACGATGATCTTCTTTCTGGGAGGCAGAAGACGGACTCCCAGGCTGCTGGCAATTTTTACCAAGCCTGAAAAACACACACAACACAATCATGACATGCAATGACTAAAGTGGTACCTTTGTACTGTGATGCTCTAGACTGGTTTTAAAATAAATAATGTAGTTGTGAGTAAATAGTAAGCCTGCACAGATGCATAGTTAATCGTACATGGTTAAAGAGTAGGTAGAGGAAAATTTTACAAAGTGGCAGATGAAATGACTACCACTTGTCCTCCCTCACAACTCTTCTCAGTAAATAAACTGATGCCTGTTGCCTGGCATGACCTCCAAGACAGTTATGCTTAAAGTACAATTCTACTATGTTAAACCTCTGAAGTCTAAGTTATCTGAACCCTAACCCTATGCGGTCACAATGTGTATGTTTGTTTTATAAATCAGCCTCCCAAGAATGAACATAAATTCTAAGGTTTTTTCCTCTTTGGAGCAAAAATTTCTTTTAGAAATGTAATTCCAATATATCTACTTGATTTTGACATACAATACAAAGGTCTAGAGGCATCTCTCATTTGTTATCTCTCAAGTTATTCTTAAGGAAGGGGAAGAGAGGGCAAAGGTTGACATATAACAAATTAAACAAGCCTGTGTTTTTATTTAGCTATTACACTATAATAAGTTGTTTTTTTTAAAGGACACATGGTGATCAAGGTAACTAAAATGAGCTACAGGATTATTCGTGACACCACACCTTTCCAAATGTTTACCTTCTAGAAAACAAGTTGATATTCTCTCTGCTTTTCTCTGCTTGCACCCCAGAAGGGTATAATAATCTCCCATTAATAAAAAGCACACTACAGGAGGCTCTCTTATTAAATTGTTGATTTTTTTAACTGTAATATCTTACAGTATAAGGCCGTCACTATGCGACTGCGGCACTTTAATTATGTTCCTCTTTCTGGGATCAATGAAGTTTCTATATATCTATGTGTATGTGATTTTGCATCAATGCATACAGTCAGATGGGGCACTGCCCAGCGAGGCTGCAGAGGAGCCTCTAAGATGTTCAACGTCACGTGTTTGACACACACTAGCAGCTGCTGCAGACTGACACACACACTAAACAAGCAGCATTACACCTTTAAGTCCACATAAACTTCAGTCGGGGGCTTCAGCAGTGGCACAGCTCGGTTACCATAATACCACAGCCAGGGCGGGCTGGTTTCTACTTTGCGGTCCTAACTTTGCTTTAGCCTTAATCCAGATTATCGACTGTTTACCGTTTTCGCTGTCCACATACAGATTGTGGCACTCCTTCAGTATCCTCTCACTCGGTGTGGTGATCGCAGACTCCAGGGGGTTTGCCACAGACCTGGGCTTTCTACCCGACATGGTTAACGACGCCAGGGGAACCCGCTTCTCTGCCCTTTCCTACACCACACGGGGAAGGGTTTCAGGGTTGCACAAACACCGTTATGTCCTGAAGAAGCGCTCCCCCTGCGGCCAGACGTCATCATGACATCTCAACACACAGGTGTTAGTATGCCCTGCGTGGCTTTAAATATTATTTAATGATTAGTTTGTATTACTGACCTTTGTCCATAGAAATATGACAAAATTGCTGCCATGTTGAATGTCTACAATTAGCTCTCGCCCAGCCCGAACTGCTCCCAAAATGTGGGCCACGGACCCCTGGTGGGCCCCGAATGGTACTACAAGTGGGCGTTAAGAAGTCAATTATTATAAATAGGCTAAATTGTAACTGACAAAACTATTATTAAAACTATTACAGTTCAAATCAGTTTTATTCGTGTAATTCCAAATTACAACAATAATTGCCTCAAGGTGCTTTAAATGTAAGGTTAGAGAGGAAACAGCAACAATCAGATAACCCCTGATGAGGAAGCACTCGGCCAGAATGAGAAAGAAAAAACACACTTTTAGCAGGAAGAAAACTCCTGCAGAACCAGTTCAGTTTCTGGTGCAACCAACTCAGAGTAAGGGTAAAGAGAAAAGACAAAGAGGGTACGGGGAGACAGGACAAAACACAGATTATGGGGGATAAAACACACAATTCAATGGCATGCAGTAGTGTATGAACACCTGGGGAATGAAAAGTGAAGAAGAAATGCTCAGTGTATCAAAGGTATAAGCAGTCTGACCTTATAGCAGCATAACTAAGGAATGGTTGAGGGTCACCTGATTCACCCCTATCTTTATCAAAAAGTTTAAGTCAAGTGATGAGGTTAGGGGTTTCCCTCCAGTCCATTTTTCATGGACTGGTACTTATATCACACTTTTACCTAACTGAGCACTCAGATAGAGTGCTCACATTCATGCACCACTTTATTCCATGCCTTGCACACATTCACACTCCAATGAGGGGACAGTTTGGGGTTCAGTAGGATACTTCAACAAGCTGACTGAAGGACCCAGGGATCAAACATTGACCTTTTAGTTTGTAACTCTACCTGCTGCACCTCCTTGTTAAGCATCATACAAGTTTTACAAGTTTTTATACATTTTTCATAAACAGTAAAAATGACACGTTTTTTGTGTCCTGAATAGATCAGCCTGAGGGAGACTGTGCTCTGCTGCGTCTGTAGTATAGAGTGGAGCTGGTGCAATAGAATGTCCATTGAATATATAGAATAGAATCGCCCTTTATTGTCATTGTACATGTACAACGAAATGGTAAAAACTTTGTGGAAACAGCGCTGTCACAGCATCAGCTGAATGAATGATCTTTTGCGTCATTGTTTCATAAATGTGGTCAGTATAATGACCATATTTATCAAAGATTAAACTTTTTTTTATTTGTTTTGTACTACAAGTAACTTCAGTGGGTTTTATTTGAATAAGCTTTAAGCTGTGTCACACGAGAGTATTCCTTTTTTTTCTGTCTCTGTTTTAACGTTAATCAACAAATCATCACTACAGACTGAAACTAAAGCTGAGCTGTACATTTTGAAAAAAATATCCACTGTTAACTCTATTTGAGATTTCCATTTTTAGAGTCTCAAAAGTTCTCACGGGATTAAAACGTTTTTTGTTTTTTTGTGGTAAGCTACAGAACTCTTTGAATGATTTACAAATTTAAGAGCGCAGCGACCTTGGAAATAAAATCAGTGTCAACGTTTTGAAATTATTTGTTTTATCACTTTTATCCAAAGTAATTCAAACCCAAATATGTATTTACCTAGGAGGCAGTCATCCATGGAAAATAGAATCCAATTTTATGGAACTACAAATTAGCAGATGACATCTTCTGCTACCTGAACAATACATTTGTGTTATCATCTTTGAATATAGTGAGAACCTATTGTACTATTTTTTTTCTCGTGACCACAATACATGAACCAAACTAAAAAAAAAAGTCACATGACAGTTGAAACAAGCTGTAAGTGTGAAGTGTGTAACACAAAGTGAATATTATTTTAATATTTGGGTTAACAAGCATCTTTTACCCGAGAGCAAGCTTCACCATGCAGCAGGAATGTGCCTCAACCTCTTAATCAGCCTCTACGCTGAGCCGAGGTCATGTGCTGCACCTTACAGTAGGCTGCTACTTTGTCAGAACTTGGATTCAAGTGCAAAATTTAGTCTTTGTAAATGGTTTCTGCGAGCATAATTTTACGGCAGCTTTCAAAATGAACGCGGATGAGGGACGTGCGGAATCAAGGAAAGAGGTGAGTCATACATGGGTTTGGAACCAATGAGGGCTGTTAGAAAGAAAAAAAAGAATAAAGAAAGAAATAAAATAAAAGAAATTATTTTAGAATATTTGCAGGGTTTTTTGTTTCTTTTTGTTTTTCTTGTTTTTTGTTCGTTTGTTTTTTTTTAATAATTCCTGGGTTCAGACGTCTTTCCTCAAATGACTAAAGAGAGCCAGTCACGAGGCAAAGTCGTGAAGAAAAACGTTAAATTCACATGAAATAAAACGTAGCTAGTGTCTGTGGAGGATGCGAGCTGTAATTCGTAGTTTAATAATTTTAATCCTAAATAAATGTCATTTATATTTTAAATCCTAAAATAAATCCTAAATAAATATTTAAATTCTAAAAGCGCGTGGTTTTGGGTTGCCAGGTTGACAAAAATCCGTTTAAAGTACTTGGTATTGATATGTATTATAACTGCAGTTCGGATTGTTGTATACAGAATGTCTTAAATTATGAATATTTATTATCAACTTTATTAAACTGCTAATGAATTGCCCTTTATAAACATTTCCGGGCATCCCTCCTCTGACGGAGACTGGAGTCCTTATGATGGAAAAGACAGCAGCCACAAAACTTTGCACCATGGCCGGCCCAGATTGCTCTCCACAGTTAATCCATCCAGCGGCTGCAGTTATTCAAAAAACTTCACCAACTGCTTTTCTATACTTGAACTATAGGGGGAGTCCGCACATAGCATCTTTACTGCTGAGCGTATAGCCTAGGACATATGTTACGGCATAACTATGGATTTTTTTTCTCAGCCTTTTAAAATGTGAATGTGGTACTGCATTCTGCCTGTAGGCATGCATCACACTTCCATGGCATCAAACCTGTGAGCTATGCAAGTCTTTAAAAACAGAAAAAAGAAAAGAAACCAAAATATATTAAAATAGGTGCACATTGTGCTACTCTTTGTGAAACATGTTTTCGGTAGACCAAAATCATAATGCTATGTAACTCCCCTATGTGTGGATCCTGAAATACTTTTCTTCTTTTATGTGAAAGTAATTGATTCAGTTAGTGCGCCATGAACTTTGAATAAACATGGAATAATTTAGCCAATTCCCCACACCCTAAGGACACTTTCTGACAACAGATCAATTGTATTATCCCCGGCATAAACTCATCCCCCCATCCGCTTTAAGTTTCCTGTTGGATGCAAGCTCCTGCGGGAAGGATACTCTGATATTCTGCTCTCCCTCAAAGAATCCAGGACTTTAAGCAAAATATAAAACATGCCAAAAGAATACAAGAATGAATATCAGCCTCTTCTAGCTAAAGCAACCAAAGATAGAAGGCGGCCAAAGGTAAGTGGATTGTAATGGATTAAGGGTTTTGAAAAATAAAAGTACGTTTGGCAGCATGGTGGGACGCAGCTTTCTGTCCAAGATGATATTGAAACACTTTTGTTTGTGGGTCTGTTTTTCTGTTTGCAGCTTCCAAACAAATCACTTCTGCTGGCTGTGTGTGCTGCTGGCATCGGGGGGACCTTTCAGTATGGATATAATATATCTGTCATCAATGCACCCACAGCGGTAATAATTCTGCTGCCTCTCACTGGACTTTTTCCATAACTATTGATCTAAATGATCAAAACACGGTCTGAGGGCAAACTTAGTAACACGTGGACTACAGTCACTGTTTTTGTTATTCTGGTATTAGAGAACACGCACACACAAACACATAACACATAATTTGTTCTAACAAGCACAGGCGGTCTAATGATCGCCAAGTACAGTGATGTTATTCAGTGACAAAAAAGTAGACTGATAATAAGAGTAGTGGCAGTATTTAGACATTGCTTTGCACTCGTGTTGATAAAAAACAGTGTTTGTGTTCAATTTTCTTCTTTTCTCTCCAGTATGTGCAAGATTTCATCAACCAAACCTGGAGCGAGCGTTACCAAACTCAAATATCAGATGATGGTCTCACCCTCCTCTGGTCCACTATCGTGTCCATATTCACTTTAGGAGGACTTATAGGGGCACTGATTGGTGGAACATTGTCTGTGAGGGTCGGAAGGTATGGACATGTTTTTGTTTTTTTTTTAATGAAAAATTGTCTTCTCTTTTATAAATAATGGGATTCATTTTTTCTTTCCAGAAAAGGGACACTGCTGACCAATAACATATTTGCACTCCTGGCTGCTTTGCTGATGGGTCTGAGTTATCCTACAGGGTTATTTGAATTACTCATCATCGGACGTTTCATCTCTGGATTAAATGCAGGTGAGTACATCAGGAACACTTAAATGTTTTGTTTCTAAATCTTGGAGAAACACAGATACATGAATTAGATGTCCAGTTAATAATGGCTAATAATGATGCTGCATGAAAACCTTCTGAAATGTCTTTTAAATATTTTTATAGGCATTGCCATTTGTGTTCAACCTCTATATTTGGGAGAAATAGCTCCGACTTCCCTGCGTGGTGCTATGGGAATGGGAACCTCAATTTTCATTACTGGGGGGATCTTTACCGGACAAGTGATTGGCCTCAGGTGATGAATAAACACATTAAGAAGAAGAACTTTTCACACAGTTCCAATGCTACATCCCTTCAAAGAAAATATCAAGCTGAAGTCCTTGTACAATTATACAGAGAGCTCCTGGGGAAAGAGGAGTACTGGCCCATCCTGCTCTCCACCACCTGTATCCCAGCTTTTCTGCAGCTCCTGATCCTGCCCTGGTTCCCTGAGAGCCCACGCTATCTGCTCATCGACAAAGGGGATGAAGAGGGTTGTAAGAAAGGTAAAACAGCTGCACCGTTCCTTCCATTTCAGATCGCAGGGAATTGTGTTCTTCCAGGAAAGACGACTTAGTGCATGTGACAGCGTAAATAAAAAAATGTATAAAGACTACCCTTTGGCAGAAATAACCAGAGGCAGAAACATTTATCTTTTCATTTCAAGCATGTGATGAATTTCTGGAAACCTTCTGACAGGACACCCCCACCCCCCCCAAAACAGCCACCGCAGATTAGTCAGATATGAAGGAAGCGCAATAACTTGAAGTCCTGTGTGTCTTATGTGTCTGCAGCCCTGAAGCAGCTGCACGGTATAGGTGATTGTGACAGTGAACAAGAGGATATTGAGAAGGAGAGGAATAGCTTATCAGGTTTACAGGCCAAGAAACCCTGGGAGCTCTTTGCTGATCGCTCTTTACGCTGGCAGGTTCTCACCATCATGGTGCTCAACGCTGCACAACAGCTGAACGGCATCAATGCTGTACGTACGACCACTTTAAAAAGTTCACACAAAGATCAAAAAGGAGTTTCCAAAGAACTGAAAGTTATGGTTTTGTGTTTGTTCCTTTATTTGTTTTCTACACTCCCTGTAGATTTACTTCTACGCAGGTTACGTGTTCAAACAGTCTGGTATTCCCAGTGATAAGATACCATACGCCACTGTCGGCACTGGTGCCTGTGAATGCATCACCGCTTTAACATGTGTAAGTATGAGTTTCTCGTCATGTATTTTCAAGTATTGTTTTTAGTATTTGGATGAAAATCCACTGCAACTGCTTGAAGTTTAGAACCCACAGACATCACCAGATCTCCTCCCTTGAGATGTTCCCCCGGCTTTTACTGCATCCATCTTCAGTCGCTGCTAGTTTGTGGGTCTTCATTCAGTTTTTTATTTAAGAACTAAAAAATCATGCTCTGGTGGATTGAAATCAGGTGACTGGCTTGGTCATTGAAGGATATCCCATTTATTTGCCTCAGACAAACTCTTTGCAGTATGCTTTGGATCATCATCCATTTTAACAGAAATTATAGCTGTGCAAACTTCTGGTGTCATTGTGCTACTTCTATCAGCAGTCACATAACCAGTAAACATTATAATGCTGTTCAGCCATGCATGCCTATGCATTAGGCCTCCACCATGTCTGACAGATTTCATGCTTCAGATCACGAGCAGATTTTCTCCTTCGCCATGCTTTTCTCTTCCAATCAGTTGGGCTTCTGTGTTTCATCTACCCAAAGAATCTATTTCAGTACTGTACATGTCCAATCTTCTTCCTGTTCTTGAGTGTAACCAGTGGTTTGCGCCTCGTTGTCAGCCTTCTGTATTTCCATTCATAAAGACATCTCTTTATTGTAGACCTTCACTAGTTTTTTTATATTTACACAGATATGTTCTAAAAACCCAATAAACTCAATAGATTTAAGTGTAGATGAATGTATTTTGGGATCATTTTTTACCTAACTCTGACTTCAAAAAAAATTCCAGTCCCTTTACACTGAGGGTGCCAAACATAAGGCCCGGGGGCCAGAATTGGCTCAATAGATAAACAATTAAATAACAAGAAAGTTCCTGTTTTTTCACTACCTACTATAGAAATGCCCGCAAAAATGAAAACTAGATATGTTTTAATTACATGACATGAACCACCAGAGCTTTTTCTGTAATTTTACACATTTATTGTGTAGTTTTACTGCTCTGACCCATTTAAGATCAAAGTGAGCTGTATGCATCATCCCTGCCCTACACAGTTATTGTGTGTTAATCTGAGTGTATTCACCTTATAAGTATGACTCAAAGCATAAGCTGACTTGAAGTCCTTTTTATGAGATCTCTGCTTCCAGTTTAACTCAGGATATACAAATATCATAAAACTCTAATGTGACATTTTTTTTCTACGAATTTCTTTGTCATTGCTATTGCTTGGGGTGCTTGTGGTGGTCTGTGAAGTGAAATTTACTCTTATAAAACTTCTTCTTGTTTACAGACAAGTTTTCTTTATAGACTAAATGTATGCCTCACTTATTCATAATGCATGATGACGTCAGAGGTTAGAAGATACAGATCTTACACTTTTTAAGCCCAAAGCCTTTAAAAGTAACATTTGCTTTTCCTGGGGTGAAGGACTGCTTACCCATTACTGGACTAATATGTGACAAAGAATCCAACTGGTAAACCCAAAACAATGTGTGTAATGGTTCTAATATTAATATACTTTTACAATTATTTTTACTGAGTCAGATTATGAATACAAGGGAGTTTTAGACTATAAGATTTCATGCAAGCCCACTCAGGACTATCATTTGTTAAAAAATAAGTCACAATAGACCTCAGCTTTGCAGTGCAATAACTTCGGCTTACTCTACCGAGGAGGCAGGATCTCCTGAAGCAAGCTGAGTTTTGCCAGGTGAGACAGCACATCTGAAGTGAACTATCTTCTCCCGGGTGTCATGTGTCTCATGTGACCAAGTCCAGCTCCTGACACTGTTCAGAGTTTATGTGTGAAATGGCTTTAGTTGTGCATACTTGTATTTATAATCTATCTTAACTGGAAAATGCTTGAACTTTAGTTTCAAATTTTTCTTTTTGTTTCAGCAAACATAGAAATAATGATCCTCTATGACACTTACAGCAATCTTAAAATCACAAGATGAGACCTTTCAAATATCGCTTCCAAGCGATGAACTGTCAGAGGCGGTCAGATTATAAAAAATAAACCATCAGGAAGAAAAATAGAAAAGAATTTCAAGACGTTTGTGTAAGATGGCTGGAAATAGAACATGAAATGGATCAGAGTAATCCTCAAAAGAGATGTTTGCCTGGAGTCTTTCTGGTCTTGTGACATGCTGTGTGTCTCACAGGGTATGCTCATTGACCGTCTGGGAAGGAAAGTACTCATCATGGGAGGATACACACTGATGGCTATCTGCTGCGTTTTATTCACGCTGACCCTAACTTTTCAGGTAATTATCGTCAGGCCAAGAAATCTTTTTAAAAAGAGATATTTAAGGGTTTAAGCCCTGTGTGGTGTTTATGCTTTCGTTACCCTGGTTGCATCACATATGGAGGTGTTTCAGTCCTTGGACAAGTAAATTATGCAATTTAACCATTTTTGGCATCCATATTTCTCCCTGTGTTGGCCGCTGGTAAGCTTATTTTGGAGATGACTAAAGGTCAGCCTCGTGCTTACTGTCAGACTCTGTCAGGTGAGCACTGTCAGAGTGCTCACCTGACAGCGAGTGACCTGTGTGCTAAAGGCTAGAGTTGTCACTGCAGAGTTTGAGTCTGTCCCGTCGTTCCTTCCTGTCTGCACCATCACATCTGATAAAACTCAACAGTTTCTCTGCATCATCTTCCAAAACTGACTCATCTAAAAGTGCTAAGCATAGAATGAGTTCATGACCAATACGCAGCCACAAAGGTCAAGCTATTTGTATTTGTTGTGCCCCACCCTCGATATGCAGCCTGGGATGGAGCGTGAGAAACTACATTGTGGTTCCCACAACCCAGAGGTTAAAATGTGCAGGAAAAGCAGGAGCACAAACGCATACACACTAAAAACACACCTGAACACACATGCTTAATATGGGGGTTGCAGGGTTGCTCTATGAAGTTTTATTGTATGCATTCTTTGCAGAAAATGAGCCAAAGGCAAAAAGTCTGAAGAAACAATCAAAATTACATATTTTTTCTTTTGGTAAATACTGAAAACGGGTCCAACAGACCTGAACGCCACACAGAGGTTAAGGCATGTCCCTACCTGTGCTATAACGTTTCTTTTGCACAACTTCCTTGTTCTCAGGAGGCGAGCCCAGTTGTTCCATACCTCAGCATGGTCTGTGTTTTTGCTTTCATCTTAAGTTTTGGCTTAGGACCAGGTAAAAATGTTCTTTCTTTCACCGAAGCATGTGCATCATCAGCTGCGTCTGCACATCAGCTGTAACAGGGATTTCTTCTGTGTCTTCCCCCCATGAAGGTGGCGTGACTAACATCTTAACAACTGAGCTGTTCACGCAAAACTCGCGCCCTGCAGCGTACATGCTTGCAGGGTCAGTGAACTGGTCCAGTTTCTTCTTCATTGGCCTGGTCTTCCCCTTCATTGTGGTAGGTGTTCAAATGGTTGAGGATCTATGATCATTTTGGAATATTTTATCGCCTTTTCTTGCATTTAAAATGAACATTTAAACCTCGATGTTGTACTTGGAAATGTTCCACTCACTTGTTTTATTTTTTACAGCTCGGACTGAAGCAGTACTGTTTCCTGGTGTTCTTGGTTATCTGCTGCTTGGTGATAATATATATCTTCCTTGTTGTCCCTGAAACCAAGAACAAAACCTTTCTGGAAATCCAGAACGAGTTCCAGTCTTCCAAAAAGAGGCAGATCGGCTGTTCGGACGGAGCAGGGACAATACTGTTGTCAACTTCAATATGATATGTGCCTCGTTAAACAGGGTTATTTAATCAGTGATTCTTTATGTCACACAATATTTATCACACAAATCTGAAATATTTATAGCGAACACATGAGATAACTTCCTGAGACCCAGGTTCATGTTTGGGATGCAATTTGTAATTTTGCCTTGTTATTTTTGATTAGTTGGACATAAACTAAGTTTTCTCTTTGAGCAGGGAGTTGTTACTTTATTACAAAGCTGTTACATACTTTTTTTTTTATCAAGTCCTAATATTGGGATAATCAGGTCATTTTACAGCACAATACAATAAAGTCAACACAGCTTAACAATGTATAAAACACAGCTGAGCAGAATGAAGAATAAGGTGCAGAACAGCAAAATGAAATACGCAAATTGATGATGCAGGGTCTCAGGTTAACATTCTCACCAGCCACTTTGTTAGGTACACCCACTACCTCTAATCAGCCAGTCATGTAACAGCAACTCATTTAAACGTGCAGACATGATCAAGATGACCTGCTGACGTTCAATCTGAGCATCAGAATGAACATTTAAGTGACTTTGAAAGTGGCAAAAAATTGGTGCTAGACAAGCTGGTCAGAATATTTTACAAACTGCTGATCTACTGGGATTGTCTCAAACAACCATCTCTTCACAGAGAATGGTCTGAAAAAACTTCTGATGCCAGAGGTCAAAAGAGAATGGGCAGACTGCTTTGAGCCAATAGGAAGGAAACAGTAACTTAAATAACCAGTCGTTACAACAAGGCACAGAAAAGGATGACATGTTGAACCATTACACCCAGGAAACCACACCAGGTACCACTACTGTCAGCTGACAACGGGAACCTGATGCCACAAATTCATATGGCTCACCAAAATTGGACAACAGAAGAATGGAAAAATGTTCTCTGGTCTGAAGAGTCTGAGTTTCTGTGGCAATATTCAGACGGTAGGATTAGAATTTTAAGGGTTATATTAAGGCTGGTGGCGATGTGGGGATATTTTCTTGGCACACATTGTTTATACCGCACAGCCTACCTGACAGCTGTTGCTGACCATTTCCTTCCTTTCGTGACCACAGTGTATCCATCTGCTAAAGGTGGTTCTGCCCAGTGGGATCAAAGTGTACCTAAAAGTTTCTGGTGGGTGTATGTTGCTTAATAAGGAATTGTGCTGTAAACTATAGTTCCTTTTTAGATCTTCTAGGCAGTTGTGATTGTGTCTCTTTAGCCCAACTAATACTGAAGAAGTAATCTTTATATATAATATGTTGGTATAATAAAGGCTGGTTTGTGTAACTTTTAAGGCCAGGTCTCCCTTGTAAAAGAGACCTTTAATTTCAATGGGAATAACCTGGTTAAATAAAGATTAAAATAAAAAATAAAAGGTGCTCCTCTGAGAATTTTCAATAAAGACCAGTTTAAATAAAAACGTTTCATCATTTGTGAACTTTGCTTGGCATTTCAGCTGCTTAATATTTCAGTTTCCAATCTTTCAGCATGACATTTGATCAGGAGAACAAAGAGTTCACTCTACAGTTTGTCATGCATCACATGAATAAAAAAAGTATTAGAGTGAAAAAGAGTGAAAAAGTATTAGAAGTATTAATATTTGTTTATAGTATTACTCAGAGAGAAAATATATTGAATATATAAAAAAAGAAATATGTATAAGAAGAGATGCCGCCATTGATTAGTTAGTTACATGGTTGTTAGTTACAGCAAGTTACATGGTTGCTTAGTAATGGTACCTACCACATAAACCAATGACACTGCTTAAAGTGGTATGATTCTGTATCATTGAGGAGAAGGATAATTAAATTCAAATGTGGTCAGATGTACAGGGAAATGGCAATGGCTTGCTTTTTAACTACAGTTATGTCACTGAGTACTCATGTTAGTTCTGATTCCCATTCCTACAGATACCTTAAACCCAGAACCAAGAACAACAGCTCCTTTTCCTTTTTCTTTGTTCCAGCTGTCATAACATCTTCATTAAAAGTGTAAAATTAAAATATAATCAAAGCTTATAATGTAAAAAAAACACCTGAAAAAACCACTGAGTTTCTTGAAGTTGAAGGAAATATAATGTGTGCGAAGAGCATGAAAATTCAGCCCCAAAGATCCAACCAGCTCCAGCTGCTTAGCAATCCAACTAACTCCTGATTTAGATGATACGCTTCGCTTAGCAGAAAAATGTAGGCAGCCAAGTTTTTTTTCTTTTGTTTTAAACAATAAGCTACTGATTTTAAACAGCAAGTCGTCATCTCAGCAGGAAGCAAAGACCATACACAGCCAGATTAACCTGCAAGGCATGTGTAAGCTGCAGGCCCCGGTTGAACCTCCCTTCTTTGTGTTCTCCACACACTCTCCACCCTGCCGCCTTTAAGCCAGCTTCAAATACAGTTAATAGACTGTGTTTGGAGCTTAAGGTAGTTTTTCTAGCTGCAGGAACACCACAGTTGGGCTGCAGTATGCATGACTGTAACTCACAGTACAATGTAAGAAAAAGCAACATACAACATAAAGAAATGGTTTGCAAGCTTCATAACATCAAGAAACACAACGAAGACTTGCAAGTAAGGCTCGATGAAGCTCTGGAAAAAAATAAAGAGATCCTCCAAGAGAGAGAACAGCAGGACATCGAGCCAAGAGACATGCAGTGCAAACTCCAAGGCATGGAGGAAAAATACAGAGCGCTGCATGTAAAGCATAATAAATAAAACACTGCACAAAAATCAACCGTTGCTTCAAGAGAAGAAGCAACTGGACATAAAACAGAAAGAAATGGACTCCAAGCTTGAAGACATGGAAGAAAAATGCAGAGTGCTGCAAATAAGGCTCGATAAAACACTGCAGAGAAATAAAGCGTTTGTTCAAGAGAAAGATCAGCAGGACATAAAAGAGGAAGAAATGCAATGTAAACTTGAAGACATGGAGGAAAAATACAAAATGCTCCAAATAACTCTGAATGAAACACTGCTCCAAAATCAAGAGTTGCTTCAAGAGAAGGAGCAACAGGACATACAACAGAAAGAAGAAAAACTTATTCTCCAGAGGAAAAATCAAAAACTCCAAAAATATTATAATGAAATAAAGTATCATCATCATCATCATTTATTTATTTATATAGCACCAAATAACTGAACTGGAAGCCGAAAAGAAAAAAATGGAAAAACAATGCTCAGCGATGCATAGTAGTATCAATGAAAGGTTTTGCAAAAGCAACAACAACAGAAAACACATGAAGACCTGCAGTGTACACTTCAAGAAAGCCAGCGCCACACCTTTCAGTCACAATTTATTCGTTTTCCAGATGTTAACTTGTCATATTTTAGTAATACTTGAACATCTGTTATAGTTACATGTTTTCATATCATATATAACATCAGTTTTTTTTTTATGTGTTTTTGATATGATTGTTAGAACACCCAGTTAAATATCGTTTGATTATATACGCAGTAACCATTCCCGACCACAGGGTGGCGTTTATTCACTGATACGGTTACTATCGGCCGAAGAAGAAGAAGCCCCTCCCACTCAAGATGGCGAGCTAGAGGTTCTTGTCCACGCTGTTTTTGTTGACAAGTTATATAAAGCCGTTTTACGCGTTAACAGTGGAATTACACCTTCTGTCGTGATGTCGAGACTCATCGTTAAAAACCTCCCTAATGGGGTAAGTAAACAGCCCGCTCGCATTGAACACAAAGCGAGAGCAGCCTTTAATTTGAGCCCAGCTAAATTTCACTGTTCTCTGTGCAGATGAAGGAGGACAGATTCAGGTCGATGTTTGCTGCCTTTGGCACTTTGACAGACTGCTCGCTGAAATTTACCAAAGACGGCAAGTTCCGTAAGTTCGGCTTTGTGGGTTTTAAATCCGAGGAGGATGCAAACAAGGCCCTGAAGCATTTCAATAAGAGCTTCGTGGACACATCCAGAGTGACGGTATGGCCTCAGCCGCACACAGTCTGTGCCTCGAGAGGGAACACGCGCATGCTTGATGGTTTACCTGTCCTTTATTCTAGGTGGAGATGTGTAAGGCGTTTGGAGACCCCAGTAAGGCAAGAGCCTGGAGTAAACACACTCAGAGCTCAGGGCAGGGCAAACCCTCTGCTCCGGCCGATACTGATGGCAAAAAGGTAGGAAACACCTGTGGACCGGAAATAACAGTATTTGTAAACTGACACTCTGTAATTACAGAGGTCGTACTTGTATATAAAACTTACCATATATCTTTATAATTCATTCTTCCCTCTGTATATCATAATTTTTTGCTGCCTTACCAGAGAATAATATAAGTATGATTTCATAGAATTTGTGTTTTTAATACAAGTGTGTGTGTATGTGTGTGTGTGTGTGTGTGTGTGTGTGTGTGTGTGTGTGTGTGTGTGTTTGAATTTTAGAAGAAGAAGCAGAAAAAGGAATCCAGCAGTATTCTGGGAGATGTAAGTAAATTATAAACTTTAAAATTTATCTGCTCTTAAATTGAGATGTTGGTCGGGAGATGGGTGCAAGCTTTGGGAAAAATGCTCAGACCTGCCCATCTGGCACCAACAGCCATGTCATGTTCAAAATCACTTAAATCACCGTTCCTCTTTATTAAGATGCTCAGTCTGACGTTCAGCAGGTTATGGGTAGGATTACCAGTACACTGACCAGTGCCTCACTGATTTGCTGATTAGATATGTGGGTAAATTAGCAGTTGAACAGGTGTACCCAATGAAGTGGCCTGTGAGAGTACAATTTTTTTAAATTTTTTTGCCTAACTCATCAGTTTTTGTATGATGTAACACTTAATATTTGGACATCGGCTCATATCTCATTTCAGCTGGAAGAGGAAGCAGAATTCAAGGAGTTTCTGTCAGTGCATCAGAATCGAAGCCAAGCTCCGACCTGGGCAAACGACACTGCACAGGAAGCACCCGATCCCGACAAGAAGAAGAAGACGACTCAAAGCAAGAAGAAACCTGCTTCAGATGATTACCTCAACTTTGACTCAGACCAGTCAGAAGAAGACAAAGAGGATGAGGAAGAAGAAAATGATGAGAGTGAGGATGAAGGTTGGTAGTGGTTGTGTTTTAATTTTGGGGTTACATCAACATCAAATACTGAAATTTATATCAGAGAAATATTGTTCTAAAGTACACACACAATCACAGAAAATCAGATTAAACTATATTAGAAAATATTCATCCAGGTTCAGTGAATTATTGTTAATTGTTTGCTATGCTGTTGATTCCAGATGCCACTAAAGAAGCACTGAAGTCTGGCTTATCAGATATGGACTACCTGCGGTCAAAGGTGGCACAAACAGCAGACACGGAGGAGGAGGAAGAAGAGGATGATGATGGTCCTTTACAGCACACAGACAGTGACTACGAGAGTGGAGACAGGGAAAACATCTCAAAGGTCAAATCTTCAGTGACCTCTGAGGAAAAGGACCAGAGTAAAGTGAAGAAACCTGCCAAGCAGGAGGTGACTCTTCTATCAGAAGCTGTTTTAAATTTTTACATTCTGTCATTGTTACTAGTTTGTAGTGATTCACACCAACCCCTGTGTATTTACTACAGACGGAGGCAACAACAGAGTTCACAGTGAAGCTGAGAGGAGTCCCGTTCAATGTTAAAGAGGTGAGCGAACAAGAAACTTCTCAGTGTCGGCACTGAAATGTTCACTGTATCACTCTGAATCTGTGACGCTAACATTGTTTCCTGTAACACCACTAGAAACAAATTAGAGAATTTATGACTCCACTGAAGCCTGCAGCAGTCCGGATTGGGAAGAACGAAAGCGGAAATAGAACAGGTGTGATAGTAAAAGTATTTAAAGTTTCTCATTTTGCAGCAGTCACCCACATATGCTGTATTCAGTGGCTTGAGAAAATATAATTGCCCACTTCATGATTTCTTTTTCTTTTTTTGTATATTTGTCACATTTTAAATAATGATTTAATTTTTTTTAAGGGAAAGAGCCCATACAAACCTTCCTGGTCCTAAGTGAAATTTTTATTCTCCCCTTCTTAAACCATGAATTATTCACCTTTTTTAAAAAAGCTGATAGCAGTCACACACAGACCTGATTACTGAATCTAAAGAAAGAGATTAAAAAACACAGACATCAATCAGTCTGCAAGTTACCAAGCCATTTCTAATACTGTAGGAATCCAGTGAAACCCAGTGAGAGCCATTATCCTCAAATGGAAAAAACATGCAACAGTGAGAAACTTCCTGGGAGTGGCCGGCCTTCCTAAATGACTTCCAAGAGCACATTGATTGGTCATCCAGGAGGTCACAAAAGAGCCTAGAACAACATCTACAGAACTGCAGGCCTGACTTGTCTCAGTTAAGGTCAAAGTTCATGATTCAACACTAAGAAAATGGCATACATAGTAGAGTCCAAGGAGAAAACCACTGCTGACCAACAAGAACCCAAAGGCTCGCCTGACATCTGCCAAAATATTTCTTGATGATCCCCAAGACCTTTGGGAACATATTCTGTGACGACACAAAAGCTGAACTTTGTGGAAGGTTTGAGTCTCGTTACATCTAACATAAAACTAACACAGCATTCTATAAAGAGAACATCATACCAATGATCAAACACGGTGGTGGTAGTGTGATGGTCTAGAGCGTCTTTGCTGCTTCAGGACAACCTGCTGTAGTTGATAGAGCCATGAATTCTCCACTCTGAAAATCCTAAAGGAGAACATCTGGCCAACAGTTCATGCCCTGAAGCTCCAGTGGACTTGGGTTATGCAGCAGGACAATGATCCAAAACACACTGGTCTACCTCTAAATGGCTCAAAAAAAAGTGTGACTGAGTTTGAGTGATATGAGAGCCTCGTGTCAGATATCACAAATGGCTAATTGCAGTTCTTGCTGCCAATGGTGGCACAAACGGTTATTGGGTTTGGGGGACATTCAGGTAGGTTTGAATAACCTTTTCCCACTTTTGTGTGTTTGCTTGTCTTTCTGCAAAATTTTACATATTTTGATGATCTCGAGTGTGACAAATATGCAAAAACAATAATTCAGGATGAGGGCAATTACTTTTTCACAGCACTACAGGTCTGTATGAACTGTATACAGGCAGATGCATCTTAACAGTGTGCTGTTGTTTTTTAGGTTACGTATACGTGGACTTGCACTCTGAGGAAGAGGTGGAAAAGGCCTTGAAGAAAAACAAGGATTATATAGGTGAAATTATTAGGACTTATTTCTGTTCATAGTATTTGGCTGTGTTACTATGAATGAGATGTTACAGGGTGTAAAAACTCTGCACAAAATATGAGCGAAAACATTTGAAGCCACCATTCAGTTGGGGAAACAACGGCACAAAGACATTTATAGATGTATTTCTCATTCTCTACTAGCTGATGAAGCCTAGACTTTGTCCTTGTGTTTTCAGGAGGGCGTTACATTGAAGTGTTTCGCGTGGATGCTTTAGCGGGAAAGAACAAAAGAGATGGAAAAGAGAAAGAAACTGACAGAAACTTTAGCAGGAAGCTCAAGGAGGACGAGGAGGAGGAAGATGTTTCAGAGTCGGGCCGACTCTTCATCAGAAACCTTCCTTACACCTGCACAGAGGAGGACATCAAAGATCTGTTTAGCAAACACGGTGAGTTACATTGATTACACGTCTGTAGAAAGAAATGCGCTCTTGTCCCAAGTGTTTCATGGTTATAAAATCTCTGCAGGTCCTTTATCTGATGTGCTGTTCCCAATTGACACGCTAACCAAGAGACCTAAAGGGTTTGCCTTTGTAACCTACATGATACCAGAGAACGCCGTGACAGCGCTCGCTCAGCTGGACGGACACATTTTTCAGGTGTTTATGTCAGAACTTCTTCATCACTCTACACCTCATGGCTGGATTCAAAGTGCAGTTCATTAAATTCAGCTGTTTGAAAACTTTCTTACACCTCTAGGGCAGGATGCTTCACCTGCTTCCCTCCACTGTGAAGAAAGAAAAGAGTGACTCTGATGCTGGCGGTCCTGGCTCCTCATCTTACAAACGGCAAAAAGATGCTAAAACTAAAGCTTTAAGTTCCAGGTAATCGGGATCAAAGTGACCATCTGTTTCTCTGTTTTTCATGCTGATATTTTTTTAAGCTTACACTTGAATTCTCGGTTTCTTTCTAGTTCACACAACTGGAACACCTTGTTTCTGGGTACAAGTGCAGTGGCAGATGCTATTGCTGAAAAATACAACACCACCAAAAGCCAAGTCCTGGACCACGTGAGTGACTTTACATCTAGTTCACCTGCATTTACGCTCCTGTCTGCCTCTTTTCCTCCTCCTTTTTTTTTTTTTTTTTTTACTTGAACAATTTATTACAATTTTTAACAAATTATAAAAATATAATACAAGAGAAGAAATAATAATAATAATATATAAGGGAAAAGGGAGTTCAGCACAACTAATTATTAAATGCCTCTTTCAACCTTATATTACATTAACTTGGTAAAAGTTATTTAAACTGCAGACGGCCACCTAATAAATGGGTCCCATTTAAGAATGTGTTCATGAATTTTTATTAGTCTCACAGGCAGCCAGCTGTGTCATCATTGTTATCCAAGAGTCAGAAAATCCATCTTTCTTTAAAGGAACCAGAGTCTTGAAATTCAGTTGCTGAACCTAAGATAAACAGTTTTACAGAGATTTGAAATATTTTCTCTTAGAGAAAAGGTTAACCTCTTGAATATTATTCCATCAAACTTTGAGTCCTGCAGAAGTTCAATGTACATGGAGAATTAAAGACCCTTGTAACCCCACCCCTGCAGGAAAAGCTAGCTGGCAGTAGATTTCACAGACAAGACCACTCGGTTGAGCAAAGGGTCTCACTTTTTTTTAGTAGCTGTTAGATTGAACTACCTGTTGGGTAGGTAAGAGTACGGTACATCCAAACCATTTAGACAGACCACTTTTTACCTCCAGAATTGACTGTATGGTTATTTATAAATATCTGTTAATTGACTAAAACTTTGAAAAATGTTTGACTGGATACCAAATACGTGAAAAACAGAAGTAATTCCAGCTCTCTGACATATACCTGGTTAACTGATTTGTTTATGATTAGTTTATTATTCCATAGAGATTTCATAAGGATTTGAAAAAGTCCCAACAACCTGCTCTGTGTAATGTATAGCATACTGACCTAGTGTTGGTGATAATAGGATGTTCTTTTTGGGATTATGGATTTGTCCCACAGTCTATACCGCAGCAATAGCCCACTGCTCAGGTCAGTTTCTCGCTGAAACCAATTTGGTTTATTATGACTGTTATAGTTTGGTAACCACATTTTCAAATGCTTTAGGCTAATGGCACAGTAATAACATCATCTCAATCCAAAAAAAAAATCCTCTTTTTACAGACTTGTGTTTTTCATTTCCTCTTTATTTATTTATTGCATGTATCTATGGTCCTTGCTCTCCCCGCAGGAGTCAAAGGGAAGTGTTGCAGTGAGGATGGCTTTGGGGGAAACACAAATTGTCCAGGAGACGCGGCAGTTTCTGCTGGATAACAGTGTCAGCCTGGATTCCTTCAGTCAGGTATGCTTGATGTACTTCTCAGTGCTCTTGATCCAAATGCGTGAATGAAAATTTGAATGAAAAGTCCACGGCTTGCGTCCCTTCGTCTACAGGCGGCAGCAGCAAGGAGCAACACAGTGATCCTGGTGAAGAACCTTCCAGCTGGAGTGCAGGCGTCAGAGCTTGAGGAGCTCTTCTCACCTTATGGTTCTTTGGGCCGCGTGCTGCTGCCACCTTCAGGACTCACTGCAATCGTTGAGTTTCTGGAGTCGACTGAAGCGAAACGAGCCTTCACAAGAATGGCTTACAGTAAGGTGTGTGTAACGTTTCACCTGCATATAGTATGTTTTGACTGCTGGATACTGAAGACTTCTTATCGGATCAAATTCATTCCTAATCCAGTTCCATCATGTCCCGCTGTATTTGGAGTGGGCGCCTGTCGGGGTGTTTGTAGCCAAACCAGAACCAGGTAAACTCTCTCAAAACACAGCCGGGCAGTCGCTTTAAGAGAGAGCAGTATTTTCCAGACTTGAAGGGTATGATATGTATAATCAGAATCCACCATTGCTCTGTTTAACTAAGTATTAGAGAAGAAGGCAGCCGAGGAAGAGGAGAAGAAGATAGAAAATGAGGAAGAAGATGATGAAGAGGAGGAGGAGGAAGCTCTTCCAGGTTCTACGCTTTTCATTAAGAATCTTAATTTCAACACGACAGAGGAGAAACTATTGGAGGTGCGTACATTAATAAATACTATTATTATTAACTGTTTAATCACTGGCTGATGGTCATGGTTTTTATTTGTTCATTTCAGACATTCTGCAAATGTGGCAAAGTCAAATCCTGCACGATATCCAAGAAAAAAGATAAAACAGGTACCGAGAAGGGTTTCAAATATTTCCTTTCAGAACAAGTGCCGGCATGTGCTTATTAACTGATAATACAAATGGAGTGCTCACTATTCAACCACAAATTATGTTTTGGTTAAGAAAAGTATTTTTGTAGACTCAGTGGTAAGTTGTGCTGCTGTAAGATTGTTCAGCATAACCACTTTCTTGATGGGTCAGTGATGGTCTGGTGAGGCAGATCCATGGAGGGAGGCACAGATCACTGCCATAGGTAACATTATGAAATGCTTGGACCTGCTGTCAGACCCTACACCGGTGCAGGGGGTCCTGGGTTCCTCCTGGTGCACGATAATGACCAACCTCATGTGGCAATAGTATGCAGGCAGTTCCTAGAGAATGAAGGAATTGATATCATTGATGGCCCCCATGCTTGCCTGAATTAAATCCAATATAAAACCTCTGGGACACATTTCAGTCCATCTGAAGATGACAGGTTGCACCTTGGACTTTCCAGGAGCTCAGTGATGCCCTGGTCCAGATCTGGGAGGACGAGACTTCAGAACCATCTGAAGTTTAATCACAGACAAGCACGCTGTTAATATTGTGCTAAACATCTGCTTTTCTCTGCGTAATCACTGTTCTCATGCTTATTGTTCTGTCTTCTAGGCAAACTGTTGTCAATGGGTTACGGTTTTGTCCAGTATCAGACGGCAGAAGCAGCTCAGAAGGCCCTGAGGCAGCTACAGGTACCATCCACACCTCCTCAGCAACACTCTCGCAGCTTTTCTCCACAAGCAGGTTTTTGGCTAATGTCTTCTCTCTCCTTAAACCCTCCTTCAGCACTGTAAGGTGGATGATCACCAGTTAGAGCTGAAGGTTTCAGAGAGAGCCACAAGGTCAGATGTGAATCAGAAAGGTTTTCTTTTTCCCCACTTATGTCCATTTACTTACAAGAATATGCTCCTAAACATTTCAGCTGACATGTTTATGGTTAGAATTTGTGGTAGCATGAAGACATCGCTCGTCTTGTCACCACTCATTCATTTTTTTTCCCATGTGCAGGACAGCTGTGGTGACACGGAAGAAGAAACAAGCTGACAAGAAGCAGACGGGATCCAAGATCCTTGTGCGCAATGTTCCTTTCCAAGCATCTGTCAGGGAAATCAGGGAGCTTTTCTGGTAACACGTACACAGCTATCGTTTTTTATTATTATTTACGCTGTTGGAAGAGCTAAATTAATACTCACATTTCCTCCTTGTATTTCATCTTCTCAGTACATTTGGGGAGCTAAAGACTGTCCGTCTTCCAAAGAAAGCGGCTGGTTCAGGAAGTCATCGAGGTTTTGGCTTTGTTGATTTCCTCACCAAACAAGATGCTAAGGTTTGTGTGTGATTCATGAAACGAAGAAAATATACATTTCATCAGCTACTCAGAATATTATAGCATGTAGATTTGTAGGTCTCATCATTTGGCTACATGTCTGTCGGTCTGTGGGTGTCTCCATCGCCAAATGTATTTTATTATTTAACATTGAAGGGCAACAATAGAGGAAATGATCCAAGGTCTGTGACATACAGTACTTTCAACAGCATATAAAGAACTTTTTTTAAAATACTCAAGGTGGGATATTTTAATGTGCTTTAAAAATATTAAAATAGATTTTTGTGTTACAGATTTTCTGCTAATAGGAAGTTTAGAAACAATTTCAAGCCGGAAGCTGACATATCCAAGAGAGATAATATAATTTCAATTTCAAAAATCTAATTTGATGATCACAGTTTGAACAAATTTAATCAAAAGAAGTAATCGAACGAGTGGTGCTTTCAACCATTTTCACCAACATTCAGGGATAAACATGTATTTAACTCATTTCTGGTTTTCATTACCAATTATTGGCCTTAAAACTGATCTTGTAGCATATTGTTAAAAAGGAGATCCAGCCAACATTTTTAAGCATCAGTCTTAGCTCAAGTGACTCAAATTAGTAAAGTGTGGCAATATTTATTTTTAGAGGGATTTTGGCTGTCACACTGATTAGCAGTTGTGTTCCTCTCTTTCTATGTAGAAAGCGTTTGCGGCGCTATGCCACAGCACCCATCTGTACGGGAGACGTCTTGTGCTGGAGTGGGCTGACGCAGAGGAAACTGTGGAGGCATTGAGGCGAAAAACAGCTGAACATTTTCATGGTAAATCCACCAAATCCTTGTTAACAGGACACAATTAAATAAAAAGTAGGTTTGCCATTTATTCATTTTTTTTTGGTTTTATTCCTCCTCAGTCACTGCCAAAAAGCAGCGAAAAGCGGAGGTTATGGAAGGAATTTTGGAGACAATGGAAACTGAAGGTGGTGTGGAAGACTGACATCTGCAGCCTCCACACAAATCCTGACCCCAACGCTCTGTGTAAAATGGACTGAATAAAACATGGACCCGAATATCTGCATAAGTTTATAATGAATTTAAAAGCTGGTCCAGTTTTCTCTGGATTAACTAGTATTTTGTACAGAATGAAATGTCCAAGAGATCTGATGTACCTGACGACTGGTTTTTATATATGTATAAAAGCTGCGTACCTGTTACTTTTTTGTTTCATGTCTCGTTTGTGACAGTGACTGAACTACTGATGAACTTATGATGCGGGATGTCGGGCGGCGTCTTTTATTTTGAAAGTCCCGGCGGTAGTCAGGTGACTTGGCCCATCGAAGTCACATGATTTGTTCATGTAAACATGGCGTGCAGGCGGAACGGAGCTGACCGTGTTAGAAGTTTTACAGAGGTTTTAGATCTTTTAAAGATGTTTTTGCTTTTGTTTTGTATGTTTACGGCCGTTCGAGCAGAAATACGAACGGCTGTGATCGACAAGCAAACCGGACAGCTGTCTGTCATAGAGGGATATCAGGAGGATTTTGTGGCTTGGGCGAATTTCACTGATGATATTGAAACGTCAGGGTGAGTGTTTAGAGACTGTTCTTGGTCTAAAATGTAAACTATTTGCCTCTAAAGGCTCGGTTTGTCTGTGCGGTTTGTGCTTGAAATAGGTCGTTGGTGAATGGTCAAGCTGGGTCAGTGCTGCAGTTTCTTACAGAAAGTAAGAAAAGCGTGTTGCAGCTTTGACTCCTGATATTGTTTCAATTATTCGGTTAATCGTTTAATGCAAGGGTGAAGAGCTCAAGGTCCGGTGTCCTGCATGTTTTAGATATCACCTTGGGTCAGCACGCCTGAAGCAAATGATTAGTGCATTACCAGGCCTCTGGAGAACCTCAAGACATGTTGAGTAGGTCATTTAGCCATTTAAATCATCGGTGTTGGCTAAAGGACACGTCTAAAACCTGCAGGACACGGCCCTCGAGGCCTGGAGTTCCCCACCACTGGTTTAGTGTATAATTTGCAGTTCCACACACAGTGTTTTACTAGTTTTACACCCAAACCGATCCAGATTCTCTCAGACTAGTTCAAGAATTTAAGAAAAAATGAGAAATTATACATATTAAAATATTTGAGTTCATAAAGAACGTAAACAATCATCCCCTATGAAGCTGTAACAGAATGGTGTTCGGCAGTGTCAATGGTCTAAATAGTTTTCCTTGTTTTTTCGTAAATGTTGACTCGTTGAGCAACATTTAATCCTTGTGGTTTTGTTTTGAGGAACCCAAATTAGCAGAAGTAGCACACATGACACACTGAGAAATCTTCTGGAGGTCTTTAAAAGTTTTTCTTTGGACATTGGCTGGGTTTTTGTTTGTTCTGTTTGGGAGGGGAGATAATATTTTGTATCTTTAGGCACTTTGTTACTAGCAGCCTGTTACAAAAACACATCCTTTGCACCCATTTCTTTAGTTGCAAAAGCAAAAAAAATAGAAAAGATAATACAGCATCCATAGTGTGTGGCCTGTGGAAACTATGAAAAGTGAGAAAACTGGCAGGTCATAAAGAAATCTGTCTTCTCTGTAAAGAAAAGGGTGAGCCACTGAGGTCCCCAGATTACACAAGAAGTGGACTGAAGATCAGTGACAACAGGTCTGATGGAGTGATCAATTTAATTTTGAAACTTCTGGTTCAAATAGCACCATGTATGGAGGAGGTCAGGCAAGAGGTAGAACCAGTATCTACAGCCTTCTGTAAAACATGGTGGACGCCCTGTCGTTTTTTTTGGAGCTGCGTTTTAGCCAGTGGTGCTGGAGATCTTGTTAAAATTGATCAATCGGAATCAGAATATTTTATTAATCCCAGAGTGGTCACCGTTGCTCCAAGACAGTAAGAACAGTAATCAACTAAATGAAATAATATAATAGATTAAATAACAATAACATGAATAATAATGATAATAGTAATAATACATATAAATGCGATCTTTTACAAAGTTACAAAAATAAGAAAATAGCTCTGTATGTAGAACAGTGCATTCACATTTTAATCCACCGTATAATAGTATCTGGAAAGCATGTGATTGACAGCTGCTTCATTTTTCAGCTTGACAATGATCCCAAACACACTGCCAATGCCATAAAGTCATACCTGGATAGAAAAACACTCAGTATTGAAGTATTAATAGTATTAAGCCTGGAGAACTATTCCTGAACCTACTTAAAGAAATTACACGAAAGTTAGTTTAAGAAAGTTCAGACTGTGCTGGCAAATTAAGATGGTCATACCAAAACTTGACTTTCAGTCTGATTAGATTTACACAGACTTTGCTTTTGACTTGTATGCATAACCTTGTTTGCACATAATTCAGTAGAGCACTGCACCACCTATTTTCCTAGCAAAATGTAAACAAATGGGGGGTGGCTCAAGGTTTTTGCACAGTGCTGTAAACTTCATAAATCTATTTTTCTTTTTTCTGGAGATCGTTTTACATTTTTATGCTCCCTCTTTCAGTTGGTCTTTCTTGGAGGTGACTACCAGCAGTCGGTACAACGACAGCATCCAGGCTTACGCTGCAGGTGCAGTTGAGGCTGCAGCAACGTCTCCGGTCAGTCTAACCCTCATTTGGTCAGACGTTAAAATATTTTTGGTTTAATTATTCTAATGACTAGGTATGCTGGTGTTTTTTAGCTGATCTATAAACACTGGATGAACACTCTAATGGGTTACTGCGAACCCTTGATGTATGAATCTGCCTACTGCGAGCGCCTTAAGTCTTTCATCATAACCAACATGCATTGGATTCAGGACCAAATAGAGAATAATCCAAACTCACCCTACTGGTACCAGGTACAATGAGCAGGACTGAAAAAAATCCCTTACATGACAAGCTTTTTTAAAGGCCAGAAATCAGACTTTGTGCTATCTGTTTCTTCATCAGGTGCGTCTGACATTGCTGCAGCTCAAAGGTTTGGAGGACAGCTACAATGATCAGCTGTCTTTGCCAATAGGGTCATTCTCTCTCAACCCATTTGGCTTCCTGTAAGTAGTTATCTCCTTTTCTGTATCATTCAAACATGTTTTACCCTCTTTTGCTGAGATTTTAAACTTTCACTTGCTGTTGCCCAAACAGACTTTTCCAAATGGGCGGAGACCTTGAGGACCTGGAATCGGCTCTGAATAAATCCAGTCAAACCCGACCCATTGGCTCTGGCTCCTGCTCTGCACTGATTAAGCTTCTGCCTAACAATAAGGAACTGCTGGTGTCACATGACACCTGGAACACCTACCAGGCCATGCTGCGCATAATGAAGAAATACATTTTTGCCTTTAAAGTTTCTCCTCTAGGTAATTAATTGACGCAAGTGTGCCTCCTGATTGGTGATGAGATTCATTGGGATTGATCAGGAGAGACGAGATTAGAAATGAGCACATCAGAGGGACAGATCAGGTTGAGTGACAACAAAGTTAGAGAGGCAAAGGTTAGATCATTTGGACATTGATTTTTCCAGTTTAGCTGTTGCTGTTTCTAGATACCTGCTCACTCTACTTTTCAGATTTACAATACAAAAACAATGGTCCCAATTTTTTTATATAATGGCAAAACAATTAGATATGTCCTTAAATGCTTGACTTTTGAATTCTTTAATGCACGTTTAAAACCCCAAAAGTACCCTAGCACCATTTTTGATGTAATTATTTTAGGGACTAGTTGATAGTGTGACTTCAGCACGTGCTCTCATGTTTTTCAGACAACTATGTTCTTCCTGGAAGAACTCAGGCATTCTCATCCTACCCTGGATCCATCTTCTCTGGGGATGACTTTTACATCCTAAGCAGCGGCTTGGTAAGATCTCTTTATACTTGACATTATATAACAGAATATGATTTTTTTTTTTTTTTTAAAAAGGGAAAGCTGAGATTATCTTACTGCTTTTATTTTTTTTCTTTCTTTTTCTGTCTGTAGGTTACTTTGGAAACCACCATTGGCAACAGCAACCCTGCTCTCTGGAAATATGTTCAGCCCACTGGAACAGTCATGGAGTGGCTGAGAAACATTGTTGCAAATCGGCTCGCTGCTACTGGCAAGGACTGGGCAGAAATCTTCACGAAGTACAACAGTGGAACGTGAGTTAGTTTTAATCATCAAATAGAAACTGTTTGATCTGCTGACAAGGCTCCAGACTGTTCTGCTTTTTAGCTTGTGTTGATAATCCTCACTGAAGACCAGATTATGTAACATTTTGTTTTGTCCGTGTTGTGCGTATTAGTGAAAAGAAGGCCACTTTTAACTTTGCTTTGCAGTTACAACAACCAGTGGATGATTGTCAACTACAACCTCTTCACTCCAGGGAAGACTGACATCACAGAAGGGCTCTTTGTCGTGCTGGAGCAGATTCCGTAAGTCACAGCACCCGAACTTGGATCAAAATAGATCATTTATTCAGTGTTTCTATTGACAATATATAACCCTATCAGATCTGACCTTAAAACAAGCATTTTATTTTTTCCAATGCTGCAGAGGACTCGCCATTTACGCTGATAAAACTCAGGAACTGCTGAAGAAAGGATACTGGGCTAGTTACAACATACCGTAAGTATTTGGTGTGCAAACATTAAGGTAAATGTTAATCTGTACTTTAGATTATGCATGTGTCTTTTCTTTTGTCCATACTTCCAAATTCTTTCTGAAGGTACTATGTGGAAATATTTAATAAGAGTGGCTGCAATGAGTTGGTTGAGAAGTTTGGCCCGTGGTTCTCTCTGGACCAGAATCCTCGGGCTCAGATTTTCCGGAGAAACCAGACAGATGTTACAGATGTGGACTCGATGGTCCGCCTGATGAGGTACGGTCTGTGTGTTGCACATGTTTGGAGATTTGTATTCCCAAAACAAACAATCTCTGATAGATGTTGTAGTTAGGGAGAAAAAGGTCTCTTAATTCATGAGATACACTGTTCCTCCTCAGGTATAATAACTTTAAGGAAGATCCACTCTCAAAGTGTGACGGCTGTGATCCACCTGAGAACGGAGAGAATGCGATCTCAGCGCGGTCAGACCTGAACCCAGCTAATGGAACATATCCATTTGGCGCCTTAAAGCAGAGACCACACGGAGGAACAGACATGAAGGTTTTCATTTTCACATCTCCCTTTGCCCTAACCCTTTTACCCATCATGCACCCTGAAGATTTTTTTTTTTGGTTTGCCGTAAGTAAAAATGAGTTTAAAAGAGATGTCCACTGAGTTTGAGCCATTGTGTGTGATTCTTTGCAGCTGACCTCCTACGAGATGTTTCGAGAGTACGGCATGGTGGCAGTGAGTGGTCCAACCTGGGACCAAGTGCCACCCTTCCAGTGGAGCGCTTCCCCCTACAAAGACCTGCTACACATGGGTCAGCCTGATGTATGGCGTTTCAAGCCTATAAAAGTCACCTGGACTCCTTAACTGGCATCAGTAGTTCCAGCTCTATGATGTTTGACAAAGGGAAATGGCATCACTGCTTCTCACAAAAATCTTTAAGTGGTACAGAGATTAATAATGTACCTCTATTTGAATAAGAAGACAGAAAATTTGATTTTTTTTTTGCATTTCTCTTTCTCATGCAAAATATGTGAAAATCATTATAATAAACCCAATAAATATGCACCTTTCTGTGGAGAAATCACCAAGTATTATTACTTACATTTATGCTGATGAACATTTTCTGTAACACTTGTTGCAAATGTTTTAATCCTGGGATAAATCATTTTTGAGTTATTCAGTATTTTCTGAAGTTTAGATTTTTTTGTAAATAACTTTTTAAATAAACAACAGAGCGATCACTTCTTTTTAAAAGGCGTGTGTGTGTGTGCGCGCGCGTGCGTGTGCGTGCGTGCGTGTGTGATAAAACAGGAAAAAATGGTCAAAGTGAATCAGGAGCTCAAAGTAAAGCTTGATGAAGCTCTGGAAAAAATAGACCCTTCAAGAGAAAGAACAGCAGGACACAGACCCGAGAGACATGCAGTGCAAACTCCAAGGCATGGAGGAAAAATACAGAGCGCTGCATGTAAAGCATAATAAAACACTGCACAAAAATCAACAGTTTCTTCAAGAGAACAAGCAGCATGACACAAAACAGAAAGAAATGGACTCCAAGCTTAAAGACATGGAGGGAAAAGGCAGTGTGCTGCAAATAAGGCTCGATAAAACACTGCAGAGAAATAAAGAGTTTGTTCACGAGAAAGAACAGCAGGACATAAAAGAGGAAGAAATGGTATGCAAACTTGAAGACATGGAGAAAAAATACAAAATGCTCCAAATAACTCTTAATGAAACACTGCTCCAAAATCAGCAGTTGCTTCAAGAGAAGAAGCAACAGGACATACAACAGTTCACCCAATGCTTTTACTCACTGTATCTGCAAAGTAGCTGGTTATGAATACTCAATAACACTTCAATGAGTTACCACTATGTCAGTAGCTGGTTCTCTGACCCAGCACTTCGAGTTTATTCCTCTATTTCTTTTCTTAGGTATATTGAAGGTACGTTAAGTTCTTGTTGTGGCTGTTATTAGTTTGGATCTGAGTTTCCTTGTATATTGTTATTCATTGTTTATGGTTAAGTCCATCTAGTTATATTCTTTTGATTATTTAGATTCTTTTGTGTCATCACCTCTGTTAAGTCTCCCTTGTTGGTTAGTGTGTCTAATCTGTCTTGTTTCATGTCTGTGTGGTTCATGTTGTCAAGTTGTGTCATGTCTGCGTCCTGTCATGTTTCCTGTTTATTTTGAAAGTCTTGTTTCCATATTCTATGTGCTTAGTTTAGACTTCCCTGTGGCAGGGACGTGCAGAGAGGCTTAAAGGGGCGGGTGCTCAAAGTTAAAAAGGGGCACATTGAACCA